GCCTTGCCCAGTGAATCGGGTCCGTCCTTCGCCTTGCCTGTCCCCTGGCTCGGGTGCTCTTCCGCTGCGTGGGACCTGGGGGCGGCGGTCCCGCTGCTGCTGGCAGCGCTTGAGGTGGAGGCGTTACTGACTGCCGTGAGCCTGTCAGTTGGGCTGCGAAAGTTGGCCTTGGTGCGCGTGATCTGGTCGGCGCGGTGCACGTCGTAGTCTGCAGTGCTCCGCGCGTGGAAGAAATTTCGGCACACGCCTGGCGGCTGCAGTGCTGGGTTGGAAGTCGGCTGGGCGTTAGTGGGGCAGGTCCTGGTACAGTGTGCAACCCACAGGTCGCTGAACATGCTGCCTAGTTCCCTCTGCGTCATGGAGACGAAGGCGCTGTCGGACTCCCTGGGGTATTGTGAGTCGATCGTGCGCAGTGGTGCCTTGTGCATCTTGGATCCGTCGTTCTTCTTGGGCTCGGTCAGTGGGTTCTTGGAGAAGGGCGCCCATTCGCCATGATTGAGGATCCCCTCGTTTCCCGTGCGTACGTTCTGGTGACGCCAGGCGTCGTCGCGAGACTGCGTGGCCCGGCGGTCTGGGGACCTGTCGTAACTCCACTGGCCCCTATGTCCGCGCGAGGAACCAGTCCTGTCATCAGCGGTGTGCTGAATGGGAGCGTCTCGTTGTTCTCGTCTGCCGCTCTGTTCCCTGCCTCGCGCGTGCCCTTCTGAAGGGGCCCAGTGTGGCGGATCTCGCTTCCCCGGCAACAGGGGTCTATCGTCTGTAACGCTGGATGTTTTGTCGTCAGCCGTTTTGGTGTTGTGACCCTTGCCTGTAGCTGGGCTTCCTTCAGGCTCATCTGCCTCGTCCACTTCAGAGACTCCTCGCTCACCTTGCTCGGGTCGTATTCCAGGATATCGCCGTCCGGGTCCCTGAGTTCATCAGTGGCGGCAGCAGGGTCGCTTCCTGAGCTGCTTCTGATCTCTCTTGTCGCTATTCGTGGACCTTCGGGTCGGGGCAGTGGCTGCCTGGTTAAGTCCGTGCCAGGGTGGGCAGGAACAAATTGTCTCCCGAGAGAGGCGTTCATGACCACGCTGACCAAGGGGTCCGGACTCTTCTCCTCGTCGCGTATCCGCTGGGGGCCCGGGTCGCACAGGGCCGAGATGTTTTCCTTGGCGTTAGCAGCCAACATGGCCATTCGCTCCATGGGCTGCCGAAAGGGCATGTTCTCTGGTGCAGTGGTGCGGCTTGGGACGATTGGTCGAGATCCAATCCCACGTGGGCGCGTGCATGTGTCCAGTGTTCCCAAGTTAACGTTGTCCAGACTCACGTGGTCGGGGGCGTCCTATGTCAACTCTGGCCAGCCAGTCAGCAAGTTCGTTTGTGCTATGGACCCTCGGGTCTTTGTCCCCGTGAATGGTTTCGTTGACGTGTGCCACCCGCAGGTTCTTTAGCCGATCGTCTTTCCCGATGAGGTATTGTGCGACAAACCCAGCGGCCCATTTTTTGCCATCCCATTCCGTGCCTGGCACCAATCCGTCGGTAGTGAGACCCGACGGAGGAAACGTCCAGGCCAGGTTGGAGCAGGCCAGAACATTGAGCCAGTTGAAGTCCAACCCTGTGTCTGGCACCTCGTACTGGTTCTCCATCACGTAGAAGATGTCGCTGGCAACTGAGTTGATGCGTCTGAGGTGCAGGCACATTTTGAATGACGCGTGTCCCTGTGTGCCGCTGTTGTCGTCGGTCCACGCCTGGAAGAACAGGTCGAGTCTGGTGTTGGCCGCGTCTGGCAGTTGCGGGATCCTGATGTCCGGAAACATTCTTGACTGCGTCAACTCGTTCTGGATTGGGTTCGGGTGCTGGCGACGTCTCAGATGGCGACCCACACCCGTCGTAGTCGTCGTCGCCGCGTGGTACTTGCGCCCTTTCTTTGTCAAATACGAGGGCGAGGCCAGCCGCGTCCTCCTTTCTCTTCTTGGATGTCCGTGCTGTGGGTGAGACTGGATGCATCGATGGCGCGTCACGCGCAAGCATGTGGTTGATGACGGATGGAGCAGCGTCAGGGATGTGAGCAATATAATTCCCGCAGTATCGACCAGCGTTCCAATCGCCACTCGTCCAGCAGTCGATCCAATTGCCCCAGGGGTGTCGATTGCACTGCTCTATGTCCTCCATGCCAGGAGTCGGTCGCCAGACGAAGCACCCGACCGCTGGCTGCCCGTGCTCCCAGGTGTATAGCAGCTTGGGCTTTGGGCAGCCGTCGCACGTAGCACTGTAGACCCCGGACTTGAGTCCCTCTGTGCCGAAGCGGTCGTCGCCAAGTCGTGTTTGGGGATTTAGTGCGCCTGTCACCTTGGGGTCGTTGGCTGGGTCCGGTGTGAGAAGAAGGTCGCGTAGCAGGCAGTCGGCGGCTGGGTATGCGATCTCGGCAAGCCCGGTTGGGAGGTGCACGGGCGGTGTCAGACTGAAAACTGTGGGCCTGTTGGGCGTGCTCTTCCGTAGGTTGGCCAGCTTTTCGCGCATCGAGTCACATGCGGGGGCGTCATCACCTTTCTTCTCGAGGCTCTCCACCCAGCGCCCAGTGCACAGCCGACGGCAGTTGAGTCCGTCGCGCCACCCTGCAATCTTTGCCGTTGCCAGACGTTGACGCAGATCGTTGTCCTCCCAGGTGCCCTCGATGTCAGTGGAAGCGGCCTCTCTGACAGTCGTCGCAGTAGAAGCTGGCAGTGTTCTGTGACGCCGAGAAGCGCTGGTCTCCTGTTTGGAGCCTTTTCGGTGTCATTGTGGCGCCCATTTTCGCTGTATGGGGTTCAGGTATGGGAAGGTCCTTTTGGTCCGTCGCTCGCCCTGAGCCAGCATAGTGCAGCTTCTGGTCCGGCGTGCGCCCGAGATGATTGTGATTCCCTGTGATGGATCTGTAGAGCCAGCAGATGGTGCAGCTGGTTGTCGCGTTGTCAGGCTGGTCGTTGGTAGGAGCCAGCGGTAATTGGATCTGTTCGATGAGCTGGTCGATCACCAGCAGGATCCCTTTGATGTGAAAGTCAGAACGCTTGCATTCTTCCCACGTTGACGGACACCCTGCTTGTTTCGAGTAATCGTGAAGGTGGCTGGTACTTATAAGCACGCCCGCGTGTCTTTGCGCGTCAGTGCATCTCCGATGCAGGTTCTGGTAGTCGTGATTGGGAATCTTCCATGTCAGGCCAAACTGCGTCCGGACATGAAGGTCCTTTGCAAAGGATGTGGTGCCACTTGAGCTGCCAGGTTTGCATGTGCCCAGGACGGCCTCCACGATGTCCCCGGCCCCATCTTGTTCGGAGAATGGGAAGAGACATGTCCTTGGTTCCCGAAGCGCTAGCATCATCATCACGAGGGCCGTGCAGGTCTGAGCACGTGCGGTGGGGTCAATTGGCATGTAGTCGCCTGTGATGATGCTTTCCAGGCCGTCCATCCCGGATGAAGTTGGTGCATTGGACACTGTGTCGTCGTGGCACTCCATACCGCGGGTAGCTGTTTGTCTATGCCAGCTGGCAAGCCCCGACAGTCCTTGGATGCGCGCTTGTGTAGACAGCCTGCTGGTCTTTCAGGCAGGTTGGCCACCGCGAGCGAGGTGCTCTCGTCGCCCCACTTATGGCCAAGCCCGACTGCGCGCATCAGGCACGCCCAGAGAATGTTGTATGTTAGATTGCCGGCATCAATTCTGGCCGTAGCATTGTAGATCAACCCTTTGTGGCTCCACATCTTCCCGTCGTAGAGATTGGGATCGGGGGGTGTTGTGCAGAGCTTCAGGGCGCGCGGGTGAAGGCCAGAAACAAGGAAGAGGACAAGAAAGCGAGCGGGTGCGGCCAGGAGCGCCCTCAGCGAGTTGTTGAGCTGCTTTGCCAAGGTTCCCCATTCAAACCCTTCTGGTAGCTGTCTGTCGATGCTGTAGACGAAACATTTGGCCTGATCCACTCGCATTTAAACCTCATGTTTCTGGATGCTGGATGCAGCGCTCGGTGTTGTTGCGATTGGGTTGCTGCCTGGTGTGGCGGTCCCGATTTCAGCTGTTGCATCCCAGTGTGCTAGTGGGCTAAGAAGGGTTTCCATCCCCAGTTGCGCACCTCCCAAGGCTCAGTGGAGGCAGGTCTCACCCAGAGGTCTGCGGCCATGCCGCATTCGGCGAGGGTCAGAAGAGCAGACTCGGTCGCAGCCTTGAACATTAGCCAGTCCCCGATGAGGACCAAGAACCGTTTACCTCTGGTCAGGGCGACGTTGGTCCTGTTTGGCGTGTTGAGGAAACCCCAGTCGTAATACCATTATTATTATTATTATTATACTCTTACGCATCTGTTCATGCGATATATTATTTTTTGAAGATCTACTCTTTGAGCGTTTCGGCCAATCCCTTGAACGAGAGTGCCAACCCGTTGTCGGCTGTCGGGGGGCCATCGAGCGGACAGTCAGTGCCCAGGCCAGAGGCGCGGGCAAGAGGTGCAGAGCGGGTGCGCGCGCTAACCGCGCGTGGTTGGGAATCAAATTGGGAGAAAGGAGTGGATGACTGACCCGGTGGATTTGGCTCTGAAGCCGCTGTAGTGCCTTGGCTTTTCTTACCCTGCCTCGATTCAGCCAGCGCAGCGTTTTTCCAGAAGCCGCTCTTGCCCTGTGGCCACCCGCCGTGCAGAACCGTCCGCTGTGCAGCGTAGGAGGCGATCACCTTGACAGTTCGTCCAGAGTTACGCATGGCGGGGCCGAGCGCGCGAACTGCTTCAGGGCAAGTGGCAGCCGCGTGGATGTTGGCGTAGCCGCCCCTGGCATTGGAGGTGATGTCGGCAAGTGGGCTGTCAATCATGAGCACGCGGTGGACGTCTCCAGGCGTCATCCCCTTGGTGTGTAGGTCGCAGATCTCGCCTCTGCATTCGTCCACGTCTTTTCCTACAACTTTTGGCGACAGTCTCCAGTCGCTCGTTGTCCAGCGCTCGGTGCATGACCCGCGGAAGCCCGTTGACAATGGGGCGTGGGGCGGTCTTGTAGTGGTGTAGCGAGGCCTGACTCGAACTTCTCGTCGTAGTAAGCGAACCTGGAGAAGCCAAGGACGTCGGGGTGGCACCTGAAGCACCCTGCGAGAAGTACTGTGGCAGGACTGTCCTCGCCCAAGGAGTCTTGGACATTCTCGAACAAGGATACTTGTAGCCACGGGTGTTCTGCGTACCGGGACTGTACTGTGGGCAGGAGCTGCTTGGGATCGCCCACGAGCACGATGTGAGCGCCACAATCGACCATGATGCCGATGGAGATGGCAGCGGGGACCTCGTTGACCTGGCCAGGCTCGTCGATGATACCCAGGTTCACCTTGGGTGCCTTGGGCTGGTCGAGCCTCCAGGAACCTTTGTGGGTCGCAGTGATAATGCTGCATTTGCTGCTGAGGTCGTCTTTGAACTTCTGCCAGCCGTTATTCTTGTTGGACCTGTTGGGCTCGGTGTTCTATGCGCGTCGATAGTGACTGGTGGCTGACAACTTGTGAGCGTCAGGATGTGTGATGCGTTCGTCCTCTGCAAGTCGCGCAGCACAGCTCGGGTATTGCGGAAAGTTGACGAGGCGGCCCTCTCTGTGTGCTGTTTCGAGGGCGACGTCTGTTTGGTATGCTGCCGTGTTGGGGCCAGCGACGGCGAGAACGGTGGAACCAAGTCCCGCGACATGTGCCCAGAGCCTTGCTAGTGCGGCGGCGAAGCGTGTTTTCCCTGTGCCAAGCGGGCCTTGTACCGCCATGAGGAGATGTTTGACGGATGAGCGGAGTGCCTGCGTATGGTCGTCGTTGAGGTCATGTGCTGCAATGACCCCTTTGATGGTGTCCTCAGCGGGCACGTTGTTGGCGCGCTGCCACACCGAGCCTGGGTGTTCGTGTATTTCGGCGTCCGTGATTGGTTCCAAGGCGTCTGGCCCGCTCCCCGGGTCACCAAACTGGTCAGGATCAATCAGCGGGCCCCCGAGCGTTGCACGACTTCGGAGGCGCAGAAAAGCGTCCGCGTAGTGCGTTTCCGTAGGTGTTGTTTGACCTTCGTTTCTTCCCGTTGTCGTCTGTCCCAAAGGCCAGCATGTATTGCAACGCAGGAAGCGTGGTCCCCCATAGATCGTCCCTGTGTACGTTGGAGTGATACATGTTCGACAGGGCTGTTTTGACCTTTTCGTGCTGGATCGCACTGGGCGCGATGTCGACGCGGTAGTGAGGCGCCCCTGTCTTTTCTGGCAGTGGCGCTACAGCAGAAGTGCTGTGCAATGGCCCGTCGACCTTGTCATGCTTGACCAGGAAGCCGTTGGTAGGTAGACGCGACAACGCGGACGCAACCTCCGCTCGTCGTCTGGGATGACCCGTCCGGGGAAACGAAGGAAGACCACGCGGAGACAGGCGATTTCGTCGGTGTCGGGTCCTTTGTAGGACAGCAGCACCGCTCGTACTCCTTCGTCCCCACAGTCTGCTGTCAGCTGCCACTCGGTGTCCCAGTTGACCACGTAGTAGTCCGTGGCTTCGCTCTCCTCGATCGAACCCTCCAGCCTGCACTCCTGAATGAACCAGTGCCGACTGCCCGGTGTCGCCAGTTCCAAGCTAGAATCTAAGGCGCAGGAGCGCTTGGCTTTCAAGTCCCTACGGGTCTTGGTTTTCCTGTCATAGGCTGGGTCGAGGTCGGCACGCATTTCAACTTGGCTCATCCGAACAAATCTGGTGACGTGTTCCTTGGCGTCAGCTGGCCGTGTGTTGGGCAGAGTGACTCCACTGGGGACCCTTCCGATGGGAATCGAGAGAAAGATCGCTTGTCTTCCGTGGTCCCACTGGAAACTGTAGATCACCTTTATTTCAGTAGCGGCTTCTCGTCCACGACCCGCAGTAACAGTGGTGTCTGGCTCCCCGTTGCTTCTGAAGCCCGGTGCGGAGGCTTGGACGGTGCACTTGATTGGCCTGAGTTGCCCTGTGCCAGGTGTGCTGTGAGGACTAGGGCCAGCAGTGCTCGCAGCGGCGCCTGAGCTGCCAGTGCCAACTACCGAGGCGGCCTCTTCCTGAGGGGGAGTTACTGGCGAGGCGCCACCCGAGGGCCCTGGTGGTGCCATTGCTTGCGCGGCCTTCTCGCTGCGAGCGATGTCGTCAGCGGTCATTACAATGGGTTCACTCGTTGTCCTGGTGTTCCGTGTTCGAGGGTGCGCTGGTGCTCCAGGGGCCCGGGCACTGTTTGGTGGGCGGACTTCATCTTTGTTCCCGGTAACTCCCAGTGGCGGCAAAGGAGTGGACTCCTGGTCGGTCGTGGGGTAGCGGACTGGAACGTGGTCCCAGTCTGGTGGGAAGAGCATTTCCTGGCCGCGGCGCATCGGGATCCATGGGCCTGGAAGTCCCCGTGTCGCCCAGTCGACTGGCGCGGCCTTCCACTCGGGCTCCCATCCATCCCACTTGAGGCGTGTGGTGTGTTTCCCGGTGACCTTGTCCATGCATGTGCCGTTGGTGCGCGTCCACAGATTCCCAGGGGAGTCAAACTGACTCGGATCTGGCCAGCCGTCCTTCCATTGCTTAATGATCAGTTCCTTGTGATTACCTCCACAGAAGTGAACTTTATTCCACGCGTGCATCTGGCAGGGCTCGATCAGCCATCCCCGTGTCTGCATGTGTCCCTAAGCCAACGTCGACATGTAACGGAGCTCGAAACTGGGTTGTCCAATGGTGATGTCCCGCCGCGGTCCACTTGGGTCGCGCGGCCCCAGCGCCAGAAAGCAAGCCGAGGCGTGAGCTTTCCCATTGCTGCCCCATACTGCTTCAGTGGCCATGCCCGTTGTGGCAGCTAACCGCTGCAGCCTTAGTACCAGAGGAGAGGACAGACTAGGCGCGATCCGTGTTAGCGATCGCTGGCCAAAGCAGCAGCGGGGGGGGGGGAGGAGGGGCCCGACCGCGCGCCCCCTGAGCCAAAACGGCTTACGGGCGTTCCAGTGCGTCCACCGCGGCAGCAGTGTCAGCAGTGTCCAGGAGGTCCACCTGGGACACAGGAAGAAGGGGAGGAAGAGGAGGGGCGGCGAAGGCACGGTGGAAGAGGATGGCGGTTGCATTTTGGCCGGCTTCGTGCAGCTTGTGGGCCCAAAAGACACCCAGTGTGGCCAGGCGGTCAGCAACTTTGTTGAGACGTCTTCGGAAGGCCTGCCAGGTCAGTGCCCACCCGGCATCCTCAGCGGACCGAAGGCCCGTTTCCATTTGCTGGCAGAGCGTGAGACGTCTGTACCTGGCCGTGCCTGCCCCGTATCTGATGGCACCGCGGCTGTCGCCGAGGACGCGTGCTCTTTGCCCGCGACACGCTGTGAAGCTGAGTAGTGATAGCCCTGGCCTGCATCCCGCTACTTCGGCTGCTTGTGCGCTATCCGAGCCGGGTAAGACCACGATGCCAATTCCGACGAGGTCGGGGCGTCCAGTCTCTGGGTTGTGGTATCAAAGTGCGGCGCCGCCTCCAGCGACCTTGTGCTCTTCGAATGTGCGCGCGCCGCTGTCAAAGGTGACCTCGTGCGGCCACGAGGTGGAGTCGGGGTTAAGGAAGGGGGGGTGCTTGACAGTGACCTCGACTCCCCGCTCGAGGTTTTGCGTGGCATGGAGTGTGTTGACGTGGGTGTCGCGCAAGCTACAGTGCCAGCGCGTCGATTCGGCTGTGGGCATGGGATCAATGCATGGGCATGGGAACCAGCCAGGCCCAAATCAAATCCAGCCCGCTCTGGGATGGCGTGCGCGCAGGGTAGCGCGGTGCTCGCCGGAGGCGACTGCGCGGCTTAGGACATGCAATCTCCTGATCTCGCCTCCCGCCCGGTCTGCAGTGCGGTTGGCGTGCGGAGCGGCTGAGCTGTGCATCGCGCGGTGAGGCAGAGGATTGGGCTTACGCGCAGCGCCTAATCTTCCATAGGAGCCCAGACATCAGTTTCAGCATCCTGGCCTTCACGCGCCGGTGGAGGTCTATCTTCGTCCTTTTCGGCCTGTTCTATGTGATCAGGGATTTCAAGGCCACGTACGATCAATCTCGCACCTTCCTGTGGAGTTAGGGGGGGGAGCGTGCGGCGGAAAGTGCAGTGCACAACTCTAGCTGCCACCTGCTGGTGTGGCCCAATTCTCCTGATAGCTCTTCCCAGATCCAGCGGCTCTCCCTCCTCCCTGAGCCGGTCCCAAGCCATTGCGACTGCTGTGCGCCATGTCCACAGGTGTTCCGTAGCTGCCTCGCCTGAACCGTGCAGCGCGCAGACCTCATAAGGGCCAGAGGTGCGCGGACTCTGTGATGGCATGCGCTGCCCAGTGGAGCTCCTGCGGTCGCAGGCCGTTCGGGAGCGAGGCCCAAAGGGCGATCTGATTGGACCATTCTCCGAGGCAGGTGTGGCACCAGGTGTGGCAGTGCTGTTGGGAGCTGGCAGTGTGCCGAGCCATGTGTGCTGTTTGGTGGCAGTTGCAGCGCGCATGCGTAGGTCTGTCTGCGGCGCCCCTTCGTCTCGCTGATCCCGGCCTCCCGTTGGAGAGGAAGCGGAGCACGTGAACCGCAGCAGTGAAGGAGGGGGCGTGGTGAAGTTGGTTCCATTCGACGCCAATGCCTGCTGCCCACCTGCGGTCAGCGCTGGTTCGCCTGAACCATTTCTGCGTCGGGAGTCCGTGTAGCTGGTGCCAGGCAGCCGTGTAAACCGCGCGCGCAACATTCTTGCCATGGCGGGGATGCGCGAAGCGTGAAGGATTGTGCAGGAAGCGGCACCGCACTCACCACCAAACAAACATTGGATGTCATCGTGAGAGGCACTTCTGAAATCCCACCAGCCCTCTGGGCGTCTGTGGTTTGGGGCGTTTCCTCTTCCACCCCTCCCTCTTCCCCTTCGGGGAGGGGTTTACCCCTCCCCCTGCCCCCTCCCCGTGGACCTGGGCGGGGGGGGGGGGGGGGGCGCGAGCGGTCAGGGCGCCCGAAACGGCCTCGGCGAGGAAGCCAACATCATTGATATTACCGAGGTTTTGGCCCTATTTTGGCCTCCAGCCCGAATTGAAGCTCCCCTCTTCTTTTATCGATGTCCTCCAAGATGGCCCCAAGAAGCGCCCAGGAGGCCCCAATGAGCCCCAAGATGGCCCCAAGAGGCCCCAAGGGGCCCCCAGGAGGCCCACGAGAGGATCCCAAGCGGCCCAAGGAGGCCCCCCCGAGGCACCCAAGACGCCGAACAGCCCCTCAGGACGACCCTCTACTCGCCTGGGCGTCGTTTCTCGATGGGCTGACGGGGATGCGTGAAGCGTCTAGAATGCAAATCAACTCGGCTAGGGATCTTCGCCAAGTTCAAAACCATGGGAGGGACTGTCTGGAGGTATTCGGGACCGCGCCGGGGGGTCGGCGCCGTAGGGGTGTGCTGGTGCAAAGGGCAGCGCAAGTGCCTTGAACTCGACAAGGGTTGCGGACGCCCTTCGGGGGCCTTCTCCTCAAACTGTGATTT